AGTGAAAAATCAATGCATCGATTCTCGGTAAACACGCCCACCAAGTGGAGAGCATTATTTGCGTTTTCAGGCCGATTTTGTGAAAGTTTAATGACTCAACTTGTTTGCCAGACATACAGGAAAAATGTTTGAACTAACTATTCTTTCCCCTTGTGCAGTGTTCTGGAAAAGCATTTCGAAAGTGGTCCATCTAAGTGGTGTGTATTGCAAAATTCGTACCACTCACGCGGCTAATGTACCTTTCTTCATCATGGACCACTTTGCCATTCATCAAGCGCATTTACAAGCAACTTTATTTCACCCCTTCCATTGACCCTTTTCATCACAATACGCGAGCCCGGAACAGGCAATATCCTGGTGGCTATATCTACACGTTTCACTGGAATATGTGAAACTACTTACCTTTGAAAAACTTTTAAAATTTTAGTACTGAACTAGTGACAGTGGTGAAAGTGTAAGGAGCGGTGGCGAGTGCAATGAACAAGTGGTCTAGGTCGTAGCCTTAATCGGGATCATTGTTTTGTGTCCTCAGGCAAGACACTTTACTCTCACAGTGCCTCTCTCTGACACCTACGTGTATAAATGGGTACTGGCTAATTGATGCTGGGGATAACCCTGCGATGGACCAACTAGCACCCCATCCAGGGGAGGAGTAGAAGTATTCCTAGTTGCTTCATCCTATGGAAAGCTGCAGCAAGATGAGACACTTTGCCCCAACACACAATAAACCTCACTACGCCAATCTTCTGAAAATCCACTAAACCTATAGTTATGACTCTCAGAAATCCAACATGGTCAAAAGGACTAAGAATTCAAGGCCCATAAGCTAAAGTCTGCATGGGGCTATCCCAGTTTCCATAGCATGAAGTGACTAAGAGTACCTCTACTCTCCCCCCCCCCCCCCCCCCCNACCCATTTATACACCTGGGTGGAGAGGCACTATCAGAGTGAACAGTCTTGCCCAAGGATGCAACACAATAGCCCTGGTTAGGGCTTGAACCTGGGCCACTCAATCCACAGTCCAGTGAGCTAACCATCAGGCCACTGTGCTACCAAAATCGAGGCACATTAAACAGTGATTACCTGAGTGTGAACATGCACTTTACATAATTCCATCAGAGCATCTTTCTGTTCACTGGACACATCCTCCTTATATCTGTAACATATGAAATGCGACATTTAAACATTTTAAGATTACATGATTATCCCAGGGCAACAGACACTGTCAATGTACGGTCCCAGCAGGCAAACATTACCTTTGTACGAATGTCAATAAACTTTGATGCCAAAGCACTGGGAGAGTACGCTGATCGGATAAAAATCTGATTAAAAAAAGACAACAACAACAAAGAATGAGATAACCTATGAAAAATGGGTCAACAAACTGAAAAAGAATTTTCACGAACATCTGAGGTTATGCTCACCGGAGAAAGTGATACACAACAGCATCTATCACTCTGTATGGTAATGCATATTTCTTGTCAAAAAACTGCCGCAAGAAAATACTGTTTGCACCTGAAAACAATAAATGAAATGTCGAATGTGAGTGCCGTTAAAATTTTCCTTTCTTTACTACATGACCTAGAAGACTCTTATAATCTAAATAATTTAGATTATTATTGTATCATTTCCCCTGTTTCTGTTTTTGTTTTTGTTTTTTTTTTTTTGCTTTCTTGCCTAAATATACATCGTACATGTCACACAAAAATATCCTAAGAAACATTTTCTGTGATTTTTATATTTTTGCAGAAACCTGGTTCCTGATACTCCTGGTACAGTCCGACCCTGGTAATTCAAACTCGGTTATTTCGAATTCCCTGGTATTTAAGACTCAAAACCACATCCCTTGAATTTGCTCTTCAGTCATTATTTTACTATCGGCTATTTCAAACTCATGCTATTTTGAACTATTTTTCGTTTCCCCTGAGAGTCCGAAATAGTGGGGTTCTACTGTACTTTAGAAATGAGAAGGAATCTGAGGAGAGTCACATCTCAAACTGGCTTGTGGGACTGTTAATGGGGTCAATAATCATTGTTTGTTTTGTACCTAGTAACGGCCTCACTTGCCCCAGATTTCTTTGTATAACATTGAATCATGTAACAGCAAGCTTATCCCAGGCTGCCATAAATCAATCATCACCTGAATAGTCCATTTCAGCAATCTTCAACATGGCTGCACTTGAGTGAAGAACTGGTATACTGGTCTTGGAGATTAAACTTCCAACAATGATAGCCTCACGAAGGGTACATGTTCTTGTCTGTTACAAGAAAGAAAGCGTTTCAGAACACAATCACAGCAAACTCTGCTTCTAATTCTGATGTCCAAAACAATCCAGGCCATGCAGACTGTGCAATAAAGGCCGAGCTGAGTAATTGCATCTTGACAATAAATCTCTCAAACTCATTAATAATTCATCAAGTTAAAACAAAGAAAATCACAACCGTGAAGGAGGTTTGGATACCTGGTCTTAATCAGCATAGATTTTGACGATTTTACTCCTCCGTTTTCTCCTCAGTTTTTGTTTTGATTGAGACGACATATCAAACACTCGAGACAGTGGTTCTTTGGCTGTTCAAACACCTCGAATTTCGTCAAAAATACTCCACTGCATGTCTTATTTTCAACTCTCTTCTCGGTGGTTGGATATCCCGATGAAACACTGTCTCTCGTGTTTGATATATTACATTCAGACAACAAAAACAAAAATGTTTGCAGTTACATGCATACATAGATTTATACCAGTCCTTCAGACCACAAAACATGCACAGAGCAGAGATAGGAAATACAATGTTGGCAAGAGCTGTGCCCAATGACAAAAATAACATGACATAGTAACTAGAACATACATGTACATATACATGTAAGTTGCTTGTATACTAAATGTACTAACTAAAGTTAACTTTCTTATGTTTCAAGGATCGAACTGGAACTACCTTGTACAAACACAACAGTTCACCATCCAAAATGTGGAATATCAAAATAACAGCAATATTGCACACTGTATTATGCAAATTCTCCACATTAACCTTGTAGCCTTGATTAGCCGGTTTCATATAAATCCCACAAACATTATTATATGGCTTACAGTACTAGCCTGGGTGACAAATACACACAGGGATATGTTGTCAAGTGAATTACTTAAATACACATGTATACAGTATGTAATAATACAACCTTATGTTTTACCTCACACATGGGTAATAAAATTCCCTTGAAAAAGGCAGCAGGTTTGAAAAGAGCCTTTTTTAAAGACTGAAACAAAGAAACAGATTAATTCAGTTCAGAAATGAAAAAGTTTCGACCCAGTAAAATGTTCAGTTTGGGGCACTTTTCAACAGTGGTGTAAAAAGTAGTTACTCTAATATCCAATTACAAAGGATACAGGCAATCCAATTAACCAATCAAAACTCGAACTAAATGCATGTTCCTGAAGCTTGGGTGGGTCATGATTTTACTAAGTTCTGATTGGATGAAAAGATGGTGCCAGTTTTTCAAGCTGATCATGTTGCAAAGTAATGCAAACCAATTACTTTTTGACACTCAAATGGAAACCATTCTAATGATGATTCAACAAGTTGTATTAATAAAAGTGTCTCACCATGTAGAGATGGTAGTTGAGTCTCTTGTACTCTGCAATGTCATCTCTCACCCTTGGCAGTAACACTAAATTAAAGAACCTAATTGGAACAAACAAAAGATATTAGTTAATTCTAAAAAAATTGCGCACTAGCAAGAAAGCAAGGACAACTCACTGAAAGTGGCTTCTTAAATCCATTCTCCACAGCATAAAGCCACAGGGAATAAACTATACTGCTAAAGGACCTCTTCCCCCCCCCCCCCAACTCCCTCCCAAATTGTTCGTATTCAAACCAGTGTACATGTATTGTACAGAGAGAAGTTCTTCCTTAATATTACAATAATATAAAATTCTGTTGAAATGTAACTGGTCAGTCTAGTTTGGCTTGCCCAGTCAGGAAGTACACTGAGTGTTTTGTTAACTTATTAGTATAGAAATATATTCTACAATGTTGTTGTTTATTCACCTGATAGTAAGGTAGTAACCAAACATTGTTTACCAACACGGCAACTTATCTAATCAAAGATCCAGCTTCATGCAACTTGATCTTAATTTGTTGGATTGTGTGGTTCCAGAAAATATCCATAACCCAGCCATNATGGATATTTTCTGGAACTACACTTTTTAAAATCAAAGTGCAACATTCAGTCCAAGAAAAAAGTTTTGTGTGTTAATTTGAGTGGTTCCCTGAACAAACCATTCACCTACAAACAAACCTCTGAGCCATTTTGACATTTAAATTTGACACAAAAGTCCTTGTGGCCTGAAACATGGCTGCCGCACTCCACTTATCCGGTTCTGTCAAATACAACACCTTTAGGGAAAGAGAATGAGTGTCACAAAGTCAATAACATCAGATGGTAAAATTCCACACTGCCAGCCATCACATACATTTACATCTAGAACTCAGTGTGGCTGTTATTGGCCAAGCTAAGTAAAAGCATTTACACCATATTGAATCGAAACTTTGCCTCATTGGAATATGGTAACTGTTGAGACCCCATGCACAAATGCCAATGCAAAGTTTAATTCAGTCTGTGAAAAGTCAATTTGCAGAAAAAAATCTGGTTCTTCCATTGAGAAATTTCCGTCTCTTATACTACCCAGGAATACGATAATGTTACGACACCTTATTATCCAATTTCCTCTCTATTATCTGTCAAGTGGTCTCTTACCAGAGTTAAAAACAAAAGAAAATTTCAAACTTTTAGCTCTCTAAGTGGTCGTGCTTGCTTACAAAAGGTGGCTGCTTACAAGAGGTTCCCAATGTAGTGATTTGACTGGGAAAGTTCTGGTATTTTGAGAAACTGGTCGCTGAGGGGAGGTGGTTGCAACCGGAGGTTCAACTGTATTACCAGCCAATATAACAGTGATTGAAGGACATACACAAACTCATTGTTTCAGAGTCTCATCTTGCAGTCTTAAGTTTTGAAATACAAGTTAGTAGTTTCTGGCTGGACATTATCATTAGATCATTTTCATTCAGACTCTCAAGACTACTAAGACTTAATTTGCCCGCCACCAAGCCAATGATCTCCCACTATCACTTGTCCAAGAGCAAATTTTACTCCCTCGGGCAATCAGACCTGGGATTTTTCTACCCTCTCTCCTCACTTATGTGCATTGAAATCTCCTGACATGTACTAAAAAGTGAATCAATTTCACACTTACATCTTCCCAGTTTGTCAGAGATGGTATAACTTTGAAAGCCTTGGGCAGCTTTCCAGATCGGTATTTAGCCAGGATTTGTCCCACTCTAAAAAATGTTAAACATCAAGAATAAGAATGACAATGCCTTTTAGTTTGCTTGTACATTGTAGCTCCAAGTTTAAAAAAAATTGGAAGTATGTCATCAATAAAAATGTCTAATTATTTTTAGAATCCTTTGAATTTTCCTGAAGTCAAAATGAAAGTAGTACCTTACACTACTTTACACTCACCCTTTAAAAACTTGAACAAGCCTTTCATCCATCTGAGGAGCTGTGGATCTCTCTGTTATAGAATAAATGGCAATTAAAATTCATCAATATGAGCTTATAAGGTGATGTAATGTAATGTGGTAAATAGAGGCAATGGCCTCAAGAATAAGTTTGGCTTTTTTTGCCATCTTACAGTTAAACTGAAAATAACAGAAGGATAAATTAGAGTAACAAAAAATTCTTGGTGTGGATTTTCTTAACATTGGCACAACACTTTTACAATGAATGTTGGATACTGGTGCTAATGGCAATGATTTGTATTAGAAGAATTCAAGGAACCTAAGGTTTGTGAATACAAGACAGCCCCCTCTTGCCCAGTTGCTTTGTATTTAATACACCTATTGGAAAAAACACTGAGCATTATGTACCAGACATCTGTGACTCTATTTCTGTCTTCTTGTCCTGAATTTTTTCCATTATCACATCGGCCAGAGTTCTTCTGGCAGGTGTATCTTTAGACATGAATGCTTCAAATGCTTGTTCATCTTCTTCATCAACTTCCTTCAAAGCAGAAATAAACTCAAACTATTGAGCAAAAAGTACAATTTACATCATCATTTTAAAAATGGTAAGCATATGCATGATTTCTTGGGGTGTTTGTAGTTTTAGTTTAGTTTAGTTTGCTCTATCTTGGGGGCGTTTTTTAAAAAAACAATTATTCCACTCGCACCTGTTGGACTTGAGATGATTATAGCCAACTTGGTGCTACACTCCTTGTTGGCTATCTACCATCTGATATCCAATGCATGCTAATGGAATAATAATATTGTTAATTATTATATGAAAGTACTGTACAAAACTAAGACTTGTCCAGGGACTTAAAAGTGAGGTACCTAACTTACAAGTGCACTGTGATAACAAAAAACACCAAGTTAAATAAACTCTAAGGAACTTCAATTTGAGTGGTCCACTGTGAGCCCTTATCCACAGCATACATTTTTAAGAGTTACAACCATCCCCACAGTTAATTTATCAGAGGTTTGTCTCTGGCTGTGAAAAGGTTTGGGCAAAGTAAGTAGTGAAAGCATGATTACTTACAATATTTTCATAGAACTGTTTACTGGCCACTGATGCCGTATCATCGTCATCGGAATCTAACTCATCAGCCTCCAGGTTTTGTAAATCAGGCGGACCAAGCTTTGTCTGTGCTGTTTTCAGTGATTTTCTTGAACCAGAGCTCACTCCAAACTCTGCTTCTAATTCATCTTGCTGTTTTCGAGCCTGTTCTAGAATCCTTCTTGATAGTTTTTCTTCAACATACTACAGGAAAATCAAGTGCAAGAAATTTAAAACCTCTACTGATTTTAAGATATTTTACTAATGCACTAGTTATTTGAACGCTGTGTCTCTATGTCTGGCAGCCGGACAGGATTCTCAAAATATTCCTTGTCCAGCAGTCAAAATTAATTTTTAAAAATTTCAGTTAAAAATGTCAAATCCTTGTTTATATGGCTCAATACTAATTTTGGTCAGCCTGGCACCCGGTATGTTAGGATTTATAACGTAGACTATTATAAAATGACCAGTAGCCAAAACATTTGAATAGCACTCCGGTTAGCCTAAAAACCACTCCGGTTAGCCTAAAGGGCATTCCGGTTAGCCTAAAAAGCACTCCGGTTAGCCTAAAAAGCACTCCGGTTAGCCTAAAAAGCACTCCGGTTTGCCCGAATAGCACTCCGGTTAGCCTAAATAGCTCTGCGGTTAGCCTGTTTACGGTTAACTTTCAATAATGCTAAGGGTAACTCAATATAGACTTAAAAAATTCTGAAAATTGCCGGTTGTGGTGGTGCAGTGTTCACCAGTATCGCTTACCAGGCCGTCAACCCGGGATCGATTCCTCTTGGGGTCGCCTGTCATGAGTTTCATTTAACGTTGTTTTACTTTAAATAAAAAAATCTCAAAAAGTCTCACTGCCGGACACGAAGTATTTTAAGAAAACTGTCCGGCTGCCGGACATGTAGCCACAGCGTTATTCGCTACCCCTGTATTTGTACCCCTGTATATGATTAAAAGTACTAGTTTGCCATTGCTGATTACGAGTGTGAAGATTGCTATTTCTCTGACTGGAAATAGTCAAGATACATTCTGGCAGTAATGACTGGGTTTCTTCAAACTAGAGCGGTTTTCAAGTGAGTGTCGTAAAACAAAAACCAAACCAATTACTTACGTACCAGTCAGACTACTCAGCCAATCTCAAACCGTAGCAAAACCAAAACCAAAACCAAAACCAAAACCAAAGGTAATTGGATGATTACTTTCGACATTCAATTGAAAACCGCTGAGTAAAAGGTAAGCTTTAAAAGAGGGGAGAGGAACGGTTTAGGGAGGAGGGAGAAACGGCCAAAAAAAAATAGGAAGGAGGGAGAAAGGAAGCAAAAAAATAGGGAGAAGGGAGAACCAGAGCATAAAAAGGGAGAAGGGAGAATGTTCTCTAAAAAATGTGACATGAATGTTCAAGGCCTTACCGACCCACAGATGAGGGCAGCTTTGGCCACGAACTGCAAGTTAAAGTGTATTTAAGAGTTCTCGCTTGTAGTCTCAACAATTTCAAGCCTTCGACCTCCCCTTGGGTCCCTGGGGTCCCCTTGTGAGTCTTGTGAGGTCATTATTTATACACCATACCCAGTCTTGGCCGAGCGGAGACGACAGCACTGATCTGCCTGATTTCCGGTCTTTTGTGACTTCTTTTGTCTGGCGTCGGTTTTAGCGGTCTCAACGAATTTGAAGTTTTCGGAGTTTTTTTGAGTATCAAGTCTATCAAGGTGAGTGAATGTTATTTTAATGTGAATGTTTTCGGTGTTACGGAAGATTGTTTTGAAATTGAATCACGAAAGTCTCCTTCCTTCTTTTTTTAT